GGTTGCATTCAGCGTACTAGAAAAAGCTGAGAGACTAGGAACGAAATTTGTTATCACGACAAACGCCCTCGCACAACTAACTGTAAACCGATTTGCACTGGTCCATGTCACCAGTGGCTGACTAGCGCTACAAGATGTCTTTTCCTTCTTCTTCACCAGATAGCCATGGGAGTTATATTTTATAGTATATCTCGGTACGAGCAACAGACCGGTAAAAACCATCTTGTGTCAAATTACTAGCCTGCGTAGCAGGCGTTTCCAAAAAAGCACGCGAAGGGAGCGAAACTTCTCCCCAATTTTTTGCTCACCCCAGGCGCGCTTTTCCGCTCGCCCGCTTGCTCGCTTGCTTGTTCGATCTCTCCGCCTGGAAAAGGAAAGGAAACGGCTGCCACGCAGACTAGTCAATTACGAGCCTAGCAGTTGACTTTTGACAACTTAACGGTGCCCTTTCTAAGAAGCACATATGGCACTAAACCGTACGCAAAGCCGGTTACAGACACTATGACCGGCAACAGATTCAAACAGCATGCTTATAATGGCGGTTATCAGGCGTAAGTATAAATCTAATAATGCTCTATCACAAATTCCTTTCTCTGATTGGCTTCATTACTTACTATCTATTCTGTTGAAGATAGCGTGTAGCCTAGTAGTGTGCGTTTGTTAACAAAATGGTGGCTGCTTCTTTACGTTTTCGAAGTGTCACTGTGAAAGATGATTTAAAGTTTTGAAGGACTAGTAGATTTATTGTAAAACAATTAGATTATTCGCTCTCGATTTCTATGCGCGAACCAACACGCACCTCATAGCTCAAAGTTCCGAGAACGTTGGCTTATCGGAACAGATAATGTCCGCATACAATTATCTGAGCACATTTTCGCGCTAAATGGAGGCTATTGTTTGTTTAATCGGCGGAGCGTTCGATAACCACATACAGACACTGAAAGTCATATATATCCGTATTTATTTCTATGAGATTACAAATCTAAGAACTTTTCACATGGTTCAGTCAAAACTAGAGCGACTTAGTTAACAATTTTGAATCAACTTACTTTCGATAAAAAAGCAAACAAGCAAACAAGAATAAGAGTATCAAAAGTTTGCGCAGTGATCCTGCAATGGTCAGTACCCCCTTAAAATACTGAGTTCAGTAGTTGGCTCCCGGCAAAAGTGGTCACCTTCAGTTCTGTAAAATATGGCGGGAGGATGTCTTTTGTCAAGTTACAACTGGAGCAATCAAATTTCCATCTCAAGTACTTAAATGATCGTAAAATCTGTCTCCATGGTGTCTCGAGATTTCCATATCATTTTCCCGCACCGGAGAAAAGTTTCCAAATCAACTGTTGTGACCTTGAAATTGACATCTAATCCACGTCATCAACTTGATCTGTTCCCTCGGCAGCTCCGCCTGGAGACTGGGGAGAGCTACGTATCATCCCCAGGAATTCTACAGGATCAGAAAGAAAAGAAGAGAGTTTCCTAGATTCCATTCTAGATGAAACTCTGAAATTTTTGTTGATTATATAAATCGTCATTTAAGTCGCATCGAGATAAACTAAGCCACGGAAATTTCGCTGGTGTTACTTGGTTCGACAAGGTTGTAAAACACCATGCGGGAAGGAACGTCAGATCATATTTGCTGTTATTCATGCAGTGGGCACATTTCCAGTACACTACCTCCGTTTGCTTGTGCGCACATCTTTCGCACATCGATCATGGGGTCTCGCGTCAAGCTCGTTTGCTAAAGCTTTCTCTAAGAAGGTAACTTAGTTTCCCAATAGATGACTTAATTTCTTAAAGCAAGCGCGCACATACATCTGAAGACCTTAAGAGGTCGTGTAATAGTATATTTGTTTGTATGGGGCCTCAGACCCCATATGTGCATATGGAAGGTCCAGCTTGTGTTTACCAGTGGTAAAAACAAGCTGGACCTTCCATAAGCACACTAACCAAAGGAGATTGTTTTAAAACAGTTTCAGCGAGTTTTCGGGGCCTTTAATTAATCACATTCAACCCGACTAGAATGCAGTTGAAACAGAGCGTACACTTTAAGCCTTAGCATCAATTCAGTGCTGTTGACCCTGTTTCTTACCTTCTGGCACAGTCAGCACAGCTTCCGGACCCAAGCCGCTTGGACCTTCGTCACCGTAACTTTTCCTCAAAATATCTCTCACGTGACTAGCACTGAAAGACAAAAGAAAGGCATCAACGAGAAGTACTTGTCATAAATTTGATAGATGCCGTTACATGAATAATGCTATGTGAGGAAATGCTGTGTGTTGTAGTAATTTTGGTGGTTACGTGATTGGCGCGTAACAGGGTCCCCACAGACGAGGTGCCCATGGTACCTACCAACTGTACAGCGGTTCTTCAAGGGGAGAATCTTTATCTAAGTTGAGAAGGAAGTCCTCGAGATCGGGGAATATTCTGTGAATAAAAATAAAACGACAGCAGCCATATGTAAGTCTTCGTCCACAAAATAATACATTACAAGCTTAAGGTGACATTACGAACAAGGAAGTTGCGCACCAATGTGACAAATCGAACAGTTGGTCATTGCAATGGAGTTTATTTCAACGCAAACTTACAGGCTTCTATCAGGGATATCTTCTAATGAAGAGTCTGGGTACCTCGCACTGTTAGAAAAAAAAAATGAAATAAATAGACAGCTATAAAGTGCAACAAAATTTTAAAATGGCTTATGAACTGCCAACTGCGAAACAACTGGGTGATCGTTTCAGACTCAGCTGTACATTCGAAGAAGAAAGTGGTCTATGAACAATTTACGAAGGCTACACGAACTTCACACACTGGAGATCTGTTCGTCTCCACCCATCCCCCACCACTCCGCATGTCCTGCGTCCCCTCCGGGGAGGGATGCTGAAGCGATCAAAATACCAGTATTGACGGTGGACAAGGTGCTCAGTGGGCTCCCCATCACTTAAAATGAGTTTGTTCTGGAGATAATCGATGAGACGTTTGGCAAAAATTGTTGGCTATATTTTTGTCATCTGATCACAGGCAAAACAGCACTCACAATACTTTGGTACAAAGTACGCCGTTTGCTAAGCGCGGTGAACTGTTATACTCTTGCCAACTTTAAGTTTTGTTAAGAGGTAATAATCAATGCACTCGACTCACCCAAAGTCGTTCAAGGATGACCTATCTTCTTCATCATCATCATCATCATCATCATCTTCCTTTTCGTCATCTGCATCTTGATCTGGTAGCGCAGCCTCCCGACTCGGCGAATCCTCTACAGAGATCGTGTCCTCTTTTTCACGGGGGCTGTAAGAAGTGTACAGAAAGAAATGTGGAAAGATTCAGGGTTAGATTATGGAATAGATAGCCTCGACTAGGGAGAAGCCCGGTAGTTGGCATATAAATGTTGATAACAAATGACATACTTAAGTTCTTCGTCCCCTGAAGCTCTAGCAGGGGACTCGCCTCCATGATCGAAATCTTCACTCGGTTGCCTGACGAGAATCGCTGGGATCTGTAACGGCCTGCAAGAAAATACGTTCACAAATAAATACAGAGCTTTTTGTCCAATGATACGGGGCTCCGAAATTATAGTAGTCCGTGCAAGGTAGGATAGGATAGTTGGCTGACGAAGAAATCCCTCGTCGAATTTTCGGAGAAAAGCTGATGTGCATCACGAAATAGACGCAGCAGTGAGCTGTACATTGCAAAATAAAACAATTACCCAATATTCTTCATTAGATTCTATACTTAGAGGATATCACAAGGCGGCGCGAAGATATGAACTTTATTTTCGAGTGGTAAAAACAATATTTTACTAACGAGCGCAGCGAATAAGTAAATTTTGTTTAGCCAAGTGAACGTGTAATTTTCTTTATATTAAATGGACTAATCTATCTATCGCCACTTTCACTGACTGTTTGCAAAACAACACTGAAAAGCGGGAAATGGCGTCATCCATTTCCTCACTTGTGAGGATATGGATAGTACACAGAAGTCGTAGTTAGTCACCAGTTACCTTGAAGGTTTCACATGAGCGGCAGGTTCTTCGTTTGATTTTCTCTCTTCCACTGATTCGTCCTTCTTTTCTTGAGTTCTAAAAGATATCGCAAGTGCTTATCAGCTTGTGCAAAGATCCATCTGAGTGGTTATTTAGGTGACGAGACTCAAGAGAACAGAGGGGGCGAAGCGCTACCGTTTATGAAAGAGCCAAACGTTCTCAGAGCCAGCAGTGGCGAAAATATGGATACATTGTATCCATTGTAATTTACCCAGGTAATCTGAACATTGCATTGGTTAAAAATTGTGACATAAACTCTACACTGAGCCAGTAGCCACGTAGGCTCGACTTTTGGTTTAGAATTTGCATGACTGGCTAATTAGATCATATCTTCGTCCAGACTGATCAGTAATTATTTGTACCGTCGCTGGAGTCGTCCACAAAACACCTGCGACAATTTAATAAAAAAGGAAGAAATTACTCTCCATTTCCAACTCGGCGTTTAAATCAGTGAGAATCACTTACTGTTCAGGTGAACCGGACTCTTGCTGTACCAGTGGTTGACCAGCTTCCTCGTCGAGGAATGAAACACGCTTGGAACCTCTTTTAGATAGAGATCCTGACCCCTGAGTGTTCGTCTCACTGTCAAGCAGGAACAAATAGTGAAATTAAAATTTAGACATGCTTTCGTTTTGCACTGCCCGGCCATTGCTAGGCAAAACTATTTCGTAAGAGGGAGGGGGGCGTGGGGTGGGGTTCAATAGTCGTTATTTCTTACTCCTCTTCCGTTCCACCAAACATTGTAATCAAGGCATCCCTCAACAACAGCGAGGCCGGTCGAGAACTGGGTCGAGAACTGGGTCGAGATCTGGGTCGAGAGCCTCCACCAGTGGCAGCGTCGCCTGGTGATAAGAAATCGCCAGTTCCGGTTGAAGGTTTGTTTAGAGGCATAGTCTCCTCCGAAGGCGGACGAGAGGGCCTGGGCGTACGTACTCTGAAACAAAAGGTCAAAGCAATTATTCAAAAGATTTTTTCCATATGTGTTTAACTTCATAAGGTATCGCAAAAAGTGGATTTCCAATGCTTTTTCCATCGCTTGTGAATTATAATTCGATGGCTCTAACATAATCATATTGCCAGGATCATGCAGTTTTATCAGTGCAATGGGCTCTCACGGTGTAACAGACCCATCTCAATGAAAATCCCTCTGCGTCTACAAGATAGTTGTGGTCTTCTGCCTCAGCAGGGGCAGACGATATGTGAGTGAATGATATTCAAACACGGGCGTAAGGTTGGCGAAATTTCGTGTAAACATGAGCCATGGAAAAGGGCTTACACAAGGAATTTTCAGCTTACATAAGGAATTTTCAGTTCTCTTTTAAATTCCCAGCATTGGTTAAACCAAGATATGGGAACATGACTCGGTCATTTTCTACTTCTACGGTAATTATTTGGCTTACCCTTCAGCTAACTCCAGCAGTCTCCCAGCGAAAGAGATTTTCCTATATCTTCCAGCCATCGGACTAGAGGTACTGATAAGAAAGAAAATATCAGCATGTTGTGGATACACGCAAAGACATGCGAATAATCTTATAATACCCCATTCACACCAACTAAACTAGTTTAACTAAGTCAAGTCTAGGTTTTTCCAATTTGTCGATTACCCTTTGCAATCATTTTGAGAAGGCAAATTTTAAACCATTTTGCTAGCATATTTTATTCAAACATGTTTTTGCCTTGTTAAGTTGTGGGGTGTGTATGGTATGAACAACTAAATTTTAACCTTGTTTAGTTAAACCACTTATAAACATCATAGTTACTATGTAAACATATTTAACAGGTTTGTGTGATGGGGTATATAAGTGGCGCATTGTCTCACGAGGATGGAAATGGTTTGACAGACAAGATACCACCAATGTAAAACCCAGAATTCGCGCGGTCTTGACGTTATTTCTGTTCTTGTTGCAGCTGCCGTAAATGAGCTTTTAACTTACCCTGCAGCTGTATTATACGACTGGCCTCTCCAGGTCTTTGTCATTTCATTGTAGAGATTCCCTTTGCTGAGTGAAAAAATAAAACGCGTTAGTATGAACCGAAGCCTTTTCTTCCACTAAACTTGGTATGATCTTCTGTTTGTCTATTGCTTAGACCTTTTGCAACTTTCTGAATCTAATACGCACACGACGCTTTGCTATTTTTCTGAGTAATAAATTCTTATCTCATATCTGGAGAACTCGGATTTCTTTTTTTAGAGAATGGTCGAGTATGCCTGCGTTGAGGCTGACAGAAAAATTACTTTTTTCATATCTAGACTATTTCACCGCCCAATTAATTTGACCTTTTGCCGTCACATTTTCCGGAGTTGCGCTTGCAAAATAACACATTTACAAAAACGAAACGACAAAAGTTGCTTGAAATACTAGAAGTTGCTAAAAAGTTGCCGAGCAATTTGTTGAAAGCCTTATTAGTGGTAGAACTGTTGTGGCAGTGACGAACTTAATGGCAAGAAACGTAATTCGTCTGTGTAAAGTATCTATATATATATATAT